ATGCCTGTTCTACAATACGTCGTATGTTGCTGTCGGATGTCGAGAGAAAGGGAGCCGAATCCGAGCTCTCAAAAATTATTGTGGACGAAATCCGTAAACTGTTGACGTTAATTCCGCGGCTGTATTGATAACGGTACACGGTAATGCGAGATCGTGTATGATGATGTATTTTATGAAGTTTACATGGCGCGACCGCGTGATAAATCCAGTTGCAACGCTATCCTCGGAACGTCCGCCGATATCGGGGTCTGCGGATACACGTGGCGGCCGGCGGTAGCGAGACGCGCACGTGAAAGCGCGTGACATTAACCCGATTAATCTCGACTTCGCCGATGCGGACACCGTTCGACGTGCTCGGACGGTGTAAATCGAGCGCGGTGGCACTCGATCAGCGAGAGGCGAGCTACGACCTATCGACCTATCTTAGATAAACCGACCGTGTTTCCGGGCGTCGTACTAAATATCTCGATAGGAACGATACATTAAGAACAATACTTTCTTGCAATGGCGGATCTCTCGGGGAATTTTACACCGCCGTTCTCGTTCTTTTCGTTGTCGAAACGAGATCCATCGGAAACTGAAATCCGAGTTTTATTCAACATACTCGCAACGTAATGTTAGCGGTGTTAATTTTCAAACCGATATCTTCTACTCTTGAGAGATAATTCTGAAGAGAGAATTAAGTTCTATATGTTAAATTGCAGGGTAACATTTTTTAACGCGACGTTTCTGGCTTAAGGCTCGAGAGTGGACCTTGCGAGAGGGAAAATCGCGTGGCCGACCGTCCGGCCGTTGGAAGCCCACCAGACGATTTATCGGGACAAATTGAATGGACGGAAATACGAAGCCGGCACTCGTCAGCGGTGTGCACGAACGACTTCGGGCTTCTGGCGCCACCGTTTCTCAATTCGCGGTATACGAGGGGGATGGGATGAGGTCGAAAGCGACTTCGTTTAACCCCTTCGCTCCCGGCGCCCCATCGCGTAAGTACAATATAAACGTAGTTTTTCTTCATTTCTAATGAAGCAACACAAAATAGTCTACCTTGGAAGATGTTACTTCCGCGATTATAAAACTTTTGCAAAACTTTAATGTTGCAATTCGATGCGTTAAATATTAAACGAATCTAGCGACCACGACCGTATTATGTTATCTTTATTATTCTCATTGGAAATGACAATTGTGCGCGTTACGTGTCATTGAATTTCATTACTTATTTAAATTCTGATAAAACTTGTTACTCGCCAAAATTGAGCTCCTCGCGCGCAGCGTGGAAGATCTAATATCGAGAAGTGAAACTTTCGACGGATTTAAACTTCGGGAGTAGATAAAATCTCGCTCTTTACAGATGATTCCGAGTTATTTTAACGGAAACTTGATTTAACGCTTGAATGGTATCAATTACATATTTGACGTCGAGATTCGAGAGTCGTAAGTTTCCCCATCGGGTATAAACTTACGGAAAGTGGAGCGCGGCGAATGACGGGGTCGTCTTGGTGCAGAATGTAAAATTAAATATATGTGCCCGTACGAATAACTTTTGCATCGTTGGTAGCGCGCAATACTATACGTCGGATAAAAGCTACGATATGAATGAACCCGTGATGGACATGCCGGACGATTCGCGTTTGCCCTTTAGCGCGTGTAATACGCGATTCAGACGTAACACGAACGTCGGAATCCTCGCGAGGAAATGAAGGGTAGAAACGCGCGGGAAAAATCTCCGCGACGCCGTGGCGTACGCGGTCGTTCGTAAAGGTCTTCCTCTTCCGGGAACACTGCAAGACTGACGCGCGATCTTTAACGTATGATGACGCAGGGGGGCGAGCCCAGCTCGATCACCACGGGAACTCCGGCGCATCTGATTTGGCTCGAATCCATCGCGTTTATCGGCAAGATCTAAGCTCGATCTTGCACGCCCGCGCACACATACAGTTCCTAGATAACTGTCGATATTTTCGCTGAGTCGACTTGGAAAATCTCCGAGGCGTCTCTAAGCTGTCTATGAATATTCGAATACGCGACTCTCTCGTGGCGAGGGAAGGGGCTCTCCCGCGGAGAGATTCGGTTGCAGGCTCCCGGAGTTTCCGGGGGTAAAGGGGGACGGGACCATCCCCCGTTCATCGTGACCGGTGCGCGCGATCCGTCGTACGAGGTACGTCTGCGTGTGTCAATCGTGCGTTCTACTGCACTTACTTTCCTGCGGCCGCAGCAGAGCATGGCTGCTGCGCTGCAGCTGCGGCGAGCCGTCGACGAGAGTTGAGGCTGATGACAGACGTAGCTGAGTCGTGCGCCCCCTTCCCGCTGCAGCTGCACCACGCGCACCTGCAGCTGCCCTTGCTCCCGCTCCCGCTGTCCTTGACCGACACCGACTCGACCACCGTACTTGATGCGCACGTGTTTTCGCCACTGCATGAGTTCGGTGCGTCATGCCCTCTTCCTGAAATCACGACAGGTCGGGTCAAAATACGCGAGCCCTCCGAAGGATTTTTCTTTTTAACGAAGGAAGATCAGCGAGTCCCTTCCTTCTATTTTATCATAAAAATATAAAATAATCAACCAATAAGAGTATTCTTCAATGTCGCCAGCAGTAATTAACGTCAGTACTTTCTTAACCACTTCTGGCACTTTTAATAATACAGAACAGAGAATAAAATATCAATTCTACACTATATACATATGTTTTTGGAACGGTGACCGCCGCGCAAATTATGCAGCAAGCAGAGAGAGAGAGAGAGATTATTATCGGAGAACTCGGGGTAGTATCGGTGGAATTATGAATTCAGGTAGTTCAGCGGCGCAAGTATTACGTATAATCGCCCGCGTATCGAATGGACGTCGGTTCTTAGGCGGTTAATTTACGCCGACGTTAATACACGGTTAATATTGAGGCGCGCGCGCTCGTATTTTATCCACGGACGAATCATAAACTTGTAATGGATCCCCCGTAATAATCCCCACGTGTCGCTCCTCTCATTTTCCCGTTCGCCTCTCTCTGCCTTCCCCTCCCCTCCCCCCGCCTTGCCGCAAAACTGTTTCCTCCGTCGCGTCTCATTAACCCATTTTCCCTCTCGTTCTCCGATTCGCGGTTATCTTAATTTATTAACGGCCGGCCCGTATCCGCGCGCAATCGATTACCGATTCGTGCATGCAGATGATTCCCCTCCTCCAACCCGCTCACCCCTTTTTTCTCTCTTTCCTCCCCTCCTCCCTCCCCCTCGCGGACCGACGACAGTTATATAAATCCCCGAGAACGTGTGTACTCTCTCTTTCTCCCGGCTTTCCCTCATTCTTCTCCCTCCCCCGGCCTCTCGCCTGCTCTGTTCCCGTCCTACATTTCTATTATATCCTCCTACGGCCGCGCGAAATGTCTCTCCGCTTTTTTTCTCTCCTGCCAGAAATAATCGCGACACGTGATGTCGGCATTAATAATTGAAATACGCGCCCCCGAGATGCATCGGTGTCGCAATTTCGCTCGATAAAACGAGGAGCCTCGCCCGATTCAACGTCCTGAATTTGCGATATCAGTACCCCCCCCCCCCCCGTAACTCGGCCCCGCTGCAATTCGTTCAAATTCGTCGAGGACTCTGTAATATTGATTATTTAAAAGAAGAGAACGCATGCATACACGGAGCGTTTTACATTTCACATTCCGAGGCTGCGGGGGAAATTTGGGACAAACATCAAGCGCTCGGGACAAAACGGAAAGTCTGAGAAAAACAATGCATTCCGTGTCGTCGATGTATTACAACACACTCACATACGTATATTCGATTAAAATATTAATAAATTAATAAATATTAAATTGTAGAACCAAATCGGCGATATAATTTCGACCGTAATTCGATTGCATACGTAATTAATGTGCAAATTCAGCATTTTGGCCGAATTGTGATCGGCAATATTGCTTATAGCTTCTCGCATTCAGATTTAATAATTATTTCCGATGTTAGTACGCACAACACGAATCGAGGTAAATATAATTTCGTCAAAGGACACAGAGTGGAGAGGGAAGGAAGGGCGAGGGAGGGGGGTGGGAGAAGCCGTGCTCCTGTCAAATATTTAAACGCTGCCCGCTTCATTCGATTCTCGGGGCAAAATACAAACATCACCGGTTGTTTCAAGACAATCGATAATGTTACGTGTTGGCACGCACTTACTCCACTAATAAATCGCCGTCGTTCGCGAAAGTCGCTAAAATTAAACGTGACATCTCTCGTCCGTGAATCTTCGTTTCTCCCGCTAAAAGGGTGAAAATGAAATTCCATCGGCATGCAAGTGTCACGAGAGTCTATAACATTAAAGATCGATCGTCCCCTGCCCAGCTTGCCAAATTTAAGAGAGACGTCACTGTTAGAAGCAGTGTGTGAATATTACACACTTTATCGCATGTGATGTGTGTCCGCCGTTTCAAGACGTCTGTAAGTGTGTGACTTTTTCATGCACGAATGGATGTTTGATTTTATTGGCGTGTGTGACTTTTCGCACAAATGGAGGTGTATAACTTATTTAGGTGTGTAATTTTCAAGGTGCCAATAAATATGTAAAAAAGATTGCACTACATTGCAAATCCAAGTGTTTTACTACTATACACATATGTAATTTGGTGAAAGCACTTTTTACACGTTTCTTGCCGTTTAAAACAACTATAATTACATTATATGATGCGATCCAAGTGGGAGGTTAGGTTAGGGAAACGGGAGGTTAGCGGAAAGAGCATGAATCAGAAATAAAGAGGATGAACGAGGTTTCCGAGATGTTAGCAATAGGACACAGTCTAGACTTGAAGGCACTTTATTCACGATCGTCCGAAGCACAAAACGGATGGGATAACACACGGTAGGATATCCACAACGAGCACTGATTTCGCACGATGTTGTCTGGAGTAGTTGCAGTATGTAACTGATCAGTGTGTGACTAGTAAGTGCGTTACTATACTCAGTGTGTGAATTTTCCCACAGTGTATTATATTCAAACGTATAGAAATATTACACATGTGTGAATATTACGATGTTTGACTATTTCAAACAGTATTAGATGTTTGATAAAATCCACACATTGAAGTGTGTGATTTCCACACATTCTCTAATGCATTTCACACGCGCATGTTAAGAGGATAATGCATGACGTTTGAAAAATTATGCATGAAATATGTGTGACGCATTAATATTCACGCATTTCAAGTGTGTGTTAATATTCACACATGTGTGATAGATCTACTTCTAACAGTGGTGATAATCCACAAGGTGTAATTTCTCGCGATTAAGAAACAAAAATTCGATTCTACGAATCAATTACAATACAAGATAATTCGGAGCATCGTGCAGAGATAAAGTCTCTAAAAATTCCGGCCCACTGACTCAGTTGTAAATCTTTAATCTTCTGAATCTCTCCACTGTTAGAAGCAGTGTGTGAATATCACACACTTTATCGCATGTGACGTGTGTCCGCCGTTTCAAGATGTCTGTAAGTGTGTGACTTTTTCATGCACGAATGGATGTTTGATTTTATTGGCGTGTGTCTTTTCACACAAATGGAGGTGTATAACTTATTTAGGTGTGTAATTTTCAAGGTATATAAATGTGTAAAAAAGATTGCACTACATTGCAAATCCAAGTGTTTTACTATTATACACATATGTAATTTGGTGAAAGCACTTTTTACACGTTTCTTGCCGTTTAAAACAACTAATTACATTATATGATGCGATCCAAGTGGGAGGTTAGGTTAGGTTAGGGAAACGGGAGGTTAGCGGAAAGAGCATGAATCAGAAATAAAGAGGAAGAACGAGGTTTCCGAGATGTTAGCAATAGGACACAGTCTAGACTTGAAGACACTTTATTCACGATCGTCCGAAGCACAAAACGGATGGGATAACACACGGTAGGATATCCACAACGAGCACTGATTTCGCACGATGTTGTCTGGAGTAGTTGCAGTATGTAACTGATCAGTGTGTGACTAGTAAGTGTGTTACTATACTCAGTGTGTGAATTTTCCCAAAGTGTATTATATTCAAACGTATAGAAATATTACACATGTGTGAATATTACGATGTTTGACTATTTCAAACATTATTAGATGTTTGATAAAATCCACACATTGAAGTGTGTGATTTCCACACATTCTCTAATGCATTTCACACGCGCATATTAAGAGGATAATGCATGACGTTTGAAAAATTATACATTAAATATGTGTGACGCATTAATATTCACACATTTCAAGTGTGTGACGTGTTAATATTCACACATGTGTGATAGATCTACTTCTAACAGTGTCGTTGAAAATCTTATTAAACACTGGTCTTTTCGCGATTTTCCAGTTTTCTATATCAAGCGTCACATATAATTAATGAAAAGAAAGAGAGAGAGTGAGATAGGGGGGGGGGGACAAAGAGCTGAAGAGAGAATAGAGTTGGAACTATTTAAAATTACACAAAGAGAATCATCGAATTAATTACAACTTTGTTGAATTCACTGTTGATCACGTTACACGCGACAGTTCGTTGACGTTCATATTTTCCCAATTTATTTTCATCTCGATACGAAAAAGAATCACAAGCTCGGTATCGCCTCCTCTCGGAGTTGGATTTCTAATATTTGCGATTTGAGATAGGTGACCCATTTCCCGGACAGCCTATATATCGAACATGATCGGATAATCTATGGTACATGCCGACACGCGATCACGGTTGATCTGGGGTCATAGCGCGGCATGACAGGAATCTCATGAGCCACGTCAGTCGCGACCGGCTATGCCGAACCGCTCGGATTACTATTTCTGCGACATTCTGTGTCAGACTCGCTCATTAAGATTCAATCAAGTGCCGATGCACGGCCTCTCTCTTTCTTCTTTTCTCTCTGCACGATCCTTGACCCTTTATTGGTGTCTCGCCCTAAAAGGGACCTCCCTTCCGCTCGTTCTTTCTCATCTCGAGTCCAAGGGATCTCCGTATAATTCCACCCCAAATCGTTCTTTAATTTTCTCTCGCAAAGGTGAAGACAAAGGAAACTCATCCTCCACGAAACGAACGGTGTTACGCTACGATATTACTGTGTAAAAAAATTCGCATTTTTGCAAGACTTCCCCGCTCGTGGAGTTTATGCGCACTGAGAAAAATGTCCGATTAAATATATAATCCAATTACACAATAACAAACGGATATATCCAATTAAATTGTATATCCGACGAAAAATATTATCGATTTTTCAATCAAATTTCATCGGGTGTATCCATAATTTAATATGGAAAACGTAATCGGAAAAATTAACCGTCGCAAACGCTATTTAATCGGTTTATCCGATAAAAATTTTTCTCAGCGCGGTAAAATCACTAGCAATGGTGCACTGAGAAAAATTTCCATCGGATAAACCGCTTAAATAGCGTTTCCGACACAGTTGATTTTTCCGATTGACTTTTCCGATTAAATTATCCAAACGTCCGATGAAATTTGTTCGAAAAGCCGATGATACTTTTCATCGGGTATACAATTTAATCGGACACGTCCGTTTGTTATTATGTAATTGGATTATATTCAATCGGATATTTTCAAACATTCATGCACGATCGATCGACGAGACGTGAGAAAGAATTCCGACAGCGTGTTTTTCGTCGAAATATTGTTTAACAGATTATTATCTTTGTAATAAGTGTTACGGTATTCACCGAAGGAGAGGAATTTCTGCCAAGTCAACGCTGTGTTCGCTGCAGAGATAGGTTTGCTGAAGATCTTGCCGTTCGCGGCAGAATTTAAATAGCCGTGCTGAACAAAATTCAAAAGCACCGATAATTAAAAGCAAATTAACGCCGCGATCGGCGGTGCGTCGCGACGATAGCGCGCCGCGGCAAATTAAGGATAAACGAAAGTATTGTATTATTAGCGAAAGGGCCAAGTTCTTGTCACGTGTCAATAGTCAATGATATATTACCCGTGATATATGAGCGCCTGACCAAACTCCTGTCCCAACTCCTGACGGCATTACTTCGCCCGCGTCGCAAATAAATCGACGATACTTTTGAAGTTCGATCCTCCTGCGGATTCTCGCCTCCCACCCCCCCCCCCTCTCTCTCTTTCTGACATGATAGGTTTATCTTTCCGATAAACTTTATTATCCTCGACACCTTTGGCGGCGGCCCCGCCCGCGCTCGTTTACGCAATTTAATTAGAGCCAGGCGAACTTCATTCACGGAACTTATTCGAAACGCGCACATGTCGGGGGTGGAGGGAGGAAAGTGGAGCACGCCGAGGAAACGCAGATGTCGTCCCCCGGTTAAAAAGGGCCGGCGTCACACTCGCGTAATTGAACCGTCGAACGGGGGCAGGCGCGCGTTATCATTATCAGTCTCGTTGAGAAAAATAAGAGTGGGGTCGCGACAAAAAAAAGCGGAAAAAACGCGCTCGTTAAAAAAAACCCGCCTGTTATTATTAAAACGCTTTCTCTCCCACTTGTAACGAGTAAAGAGCTGAAAATTTCTCTCGTTACACCTCGTTATGCCGTTACCGTATGCCTCTCTCAAGAAGTACGGGTGTAAGCGCTTTCAGAAAGAAAACGCGCGTCGCGTGCGTCGCTGTCCCGTAAATTAGTTTACCGTAGTTGCGGACACGTGAATCGTGGAACTTTGCGCCGCCGCCCCCCCCCCCCCGCGGCCGTTCCTTATCTCGTTTCAGCCCATTCGATTTATCGCTCGCGTGCCCCGGCGATGGATCGGCGATCTCTCTCTCTCTCTTGCGCGCGCGCGAAATCCGCCGCGCGGACGGGGCGAGCGACGAGCGCCGAGCGAGGAGGGGCCGCGGGCGCTAAGAGGTCGCGCCGCAGCGCGGGGGCTTATCCCGCCGGCTATTGCACTATGCATCGTAATGCGGAGTCGTAAACAGCGTCGCTATAGTCAGGCGAACGGCCAATCGCTCCCCTGCGAAATTCTTTCGAGCCGGTGCGCGCCGCCAGCGGGTTAAGCGTTCCGCGGCGCGAGAGAGGCGACGGGTCGGGGGGCGGCGGGAGAAAGAACGAACGGTATATAATGATAATAATGCGCATGCAACGGAGGAAGATAAACCGTCACGCGCTCCCGAGGGTGCCGTGCACCGATTTTGTATTCCCCGTCCCCGTCCCCGGCCCCTCCCGTCCCCTCGCAATCGCGTAAATCTTCGAGAACGCGCGCCGTTCGTGCTTTATGGGGGTGGGGGGTGGGAGGGCCTCGCCGTAGCCGCCCGTGATTAAGCTTAAACACTCCTCGAGGCCCGTTACTGATTACGCGTCGGGGCGCTGGGAGATGCACGACGGAAGCGGCAACGGGAAAAACGCGGCCTCGGCGAATTTCTTTTTCCGAAAAACGTAGGCGGACACACGCACGCGGTTGCTTACCGCGACGCTTCCTCGCGAGGAGCGAGATTTGCGCGTTTTCGCGTCGCGTGGGGGAAAAAAAATAATTACGCGGGAAGATATTACCGTCGCCCCGTTTCAGCCCCGTTGTAACAGCTCGGACAAGATTACGCCGAGTGGCGAAATTTACCGCGGCGTGAGGGCATATTATTACGGCGATATTGCGTCGCCGTTGATACATTTAACTATAATTGAAGCATTTTCGGCCGGAGTTATGTTGTATAAGTGTCATAGCGAATCTATTGCCATCGTCAAATTGCGGGCAGCGTCCCCGACGGCTCCCGCGGACAGCCAGCCCGTCCTCGTTTACGCGCGGCGGTTCAATTTATTTCCGCGAGCGGGGGCGAAACGAAACCCGGCCGGGGCCGAAAGACCTCCCTGCCCACATTCGAGATCTTGCCACGTGACGATACGCGTGTACAAAACGAAACCGCCGGCCATCACGCTTGAGAAACATCGACTGGCACGAATTTTCCGTCATGCTCAATCGCCAATTCTCTACGTGACTTCGCGGAGGCGCCGTTATTACAGTTCCACGACACGTTACATGCAATTCATATTTCCAGGGTAAGTCGGAAACAAATAACTCTGGGCGCACGATTTCCGACTGACAGAGAAGAAGATTCGCGGAAGGAAACGGCGGGGGGGAAGAAAAAAAGTGGAAGAGGAAGAAATTGAACCGGCGCGGAATTGTAACGCGACGCGCGGAGAAAGATTTCGCAAAATACCGCGGCCCGAGCTCGTATTCATGCCGCACTTTCGCGGCAGCGCAAAAAAAGAAATGCAAAATCGGAAATTACATTCTGTCCCCCCACCCCTCCCCTTCCCGCGTTCTCTTTTTTTTAAATGTCTAGTTCGCGTCTGGCTTTCCATTATCCTTTCTATTTCTATCCGTTTTATAATGCCGATAATTCGACAACTCGCTTTTATTCGCCCGCTAAATTTACCCTCGGCTCCAGCTGCAAGGTTGCTTTTTACTAAATATAGCGATCGCCGTCGAATCTGATTATTCATCTTTCCGTTGGACTGCGGGGAAAAAAACAGTTAAACGGGCGCGCGAGTACGTAGAAAGGGGAAAGTGTGAGTGCCACAAAATGCACAGAACTCAGGTCTCGCGCAATAAAAGTCAGAATCTCTCTTTAACAAGACACAAACGTCTCGACCCCCTTCTTCGGGTCTTCTTCAGTGAAACTCGTTTAATTAAACCGAATAAAACGCAAGGCAAAATCTTAGGAAATCAGCGCACCACGTTGACTTCAGAGTCATCCTTGTATCTATGCTGGTATCAGTGAGTCACCATGTGGTCCTAGACATAAAGCGCACTGAATAACACAACTCGACAGAGGCGTCCGGATCTCGTGAATCGTTTTATTCGGTTTAAACGACTTTCACTGAAGAAGACCCGAGGCAGGGTCGAAACGTTTGTTTCGAAGAGAAATTCTGACTCTTACGGCGTGGGAACTGAGTTCTGTTCATTTTGCGGCTCGCATTGGCGCTTTCCCCTTTCCACGCACTTTCTTTCCGGGCGCCTTCGCTACCCCTTGGAGCTCCGTGTTTGCGTTACCTTCTAAAAACCATCTCTCGTGCGATGGGCCGGCGGGTCCCTGCTCGATCGGTGACTGGCGGTCTCTCTCATTCTGCCGGGCGTTGATTCTCACCCCGTTCCGTCCTCCTGAAAGATCACAAAGCGAGCCACCGTTTTACTTGCTTGCGCGAGTCGGCGACGGGCCACGTGACCGCGGCCAATAAATTATCGCCGTTATCGAGAGGGCGCGATTACCCCTGGCGGGGGGGGGGAGGGGGTGATGCGCGGCGGACGCGGCGCGAGGGAGGAGGGGGCGTAATACGGCAATTTTTCCCTGTAAGTAAACCATCGGCGCTTAAACGGCGCCCAGCACCGCCACCTAATGGCGTATCGAAGGCGCAAAGAAAGCGGACCGATCATTTCTACGCACACGTGAGATTAACTACGTCCTATCACGCCAGGGGTTACTTAACACCCTTACACACGCCACTTAACACTTAACAATGCCCGGCGATTTTTTTCCCTCGCAAATGCTACTTCAGCTTTGTGCCTGCCCCCCTTCCCCTCTCTCTCTCTCTTTTCTCTCGGTTCTTTACGCGCTACCTTCCTTGGAACGTTACGCTCGGCATCGCCATAGACTTGTGTACTGGACTGCGCCGTCCCTATGGACGCGCGCTGTCCTTTAACATTGGAGTGCAGGCATATCAAATGAGTCGTGCTCCCTCTCTCGCTCAGCGTTAAGAGTGGGAAGAAAACGAACGAGTCGCACAGAGACACATTGATTCACTTCAGCTCTCCCTCTCTTTCTATATCTTACGACCGACGCCTCCTACGGACGGCGCAGTCTGGTATATAAGTCCAGAGAGCCTGTAATCAGAGACTGGCCATAAGAGTTGGTCAAATTCCTGCGAGTGAGAGGGAAACGTAGGCTATCCCACTCTTGTACGACAAAAGCCTTGTGGCCAGTCTCTGATTACAGGGTATCTATATAAGTCTATGGGCATCGCATGCGGAGATCAGCAGGTATCTGACATTCACCCGGTGTTCCGGCAAACGCGTTGGAATCCGTTGGAAATAACCAGTTGAACGCGTAAGCACCCTGGACCTTGGGCTGTTTGCGGTATCAATAAACGACCCCCTCCGGCTCGTTTGGCGCGCGGTGTTTAACGCAAAAATCACGTGCGCGCGCGCCACGCCGACAAAGCGGAGCTGTTGAACGTGAAAGAATAATGAGGATCAATGAGGGAACGCGCGCCGTGGCAATTTGTTTGCTCGTAAATACATTGAACCGCGGCGCCGGCGGCCGCGCTCCTGTTAAAGGGCATAAACGCGGAGGCATCCGCGGGAGAAACTTTCGGCACACGGGGAGATCACAACCGAAGAAACTATTCGATTCCTACAGCTCGTCTAACTCGCCCGGATTCCGCTCGCCGCGGGAATCTAATTGAATTCTTTCATGTTTGACCGTTCATCGGGAATTTAGGCGTTTGCTCCGATTTCGCACGAAATCACTCATCTTTTTCGCAGGGAATTGCCTCGCAATCGCGCACCTAAAACGTATTTATTTATAGCGGAAAGTCCCCCGTTACGAAACAGCGGGGTTTCTACTAAATTGATAGGCATCGTCCGTTGGTTCCACCATGAATTTATTGCCCTTAGAGTGAGATCTGTTTAGTCGAAAATTCGTTGTTAGATCGTGTAGTCGCCGCGAAAGAAGATTGCGATTGAATTTGGATGTTGACAACCTGCTGTCTCATATCGGGAGTCTACCTCACAATACTTTTTTCTATATCTGGCAGTATAGCAAAACGATAGCCCGTCTGCGACGAGTAAAGACTGAAAATTAGAGCGACGTCGATTATACGCCAATTGTACATTTCCTTTTTAAGGCAACGCAACAAGAAACCGAGCGGAATTCAGATAATATTCCTCGAATGTCACTTCGGGAGAGTAGATCAGGCTTAAGCTTATTCTACAATGGACCAGGGTTGGGAAAGTTACTTTACAAAAGTATCCAGTTACAGTTACAGTTTTTTTTTCGCTAAAAATGTAACTAGTTACAGTTACTCAAAAAGTAACGAATCGTTGCTTTGCAGTTACTTTCTTGCGATGAAAATAAAAATATCAAAGCTGCATTTGAATTGTAAAGCGTCGGTAGAGGCGTTCATGCGCAAATGCAAGGCCTAATGCGGTCTGTGGAGGTTTAAAAAAATATATAAAGTTTATATGAAACTAATTAAATTAGTTACTAGTTATGGAAAAAATGTAACTAAGTTAAGTTACAGACGGAGAGAAAGTAACGAAGTTAAGTTAGAGTTGCCAGAAAAAAAGGTAGCTGCAACTGTAACTTTTACAAGTAACGAGTTACTCCCCAACCCTGCAACGGGCGCAGAACGCAAGACGCAAGGCCGCGACGCAAGAAATCGGCCAATGACAGTCGATCATTCTTCTCGCATTTGACTGCGATTGGTCGGCTTCTCGCGTTGCGGCTCGGCGTCTTGCGTTTCGCGTCCATTGTAGAATAAGCTCCAGGCGAATGTTTCGACGCGGTGACTCCACGTCCCCCGCGATAGTTTTTTTTTTCCTCGGGAACGAGGCGGCACGGGGGACGGTCCGGGAGTCTAGAGAGCCAAGTGGAAAGAGAGCCAAGCGGGCAGACGCAGTCGGACGAGACGTAGCGAAAACCCCGTGGAGATCGCCCACCGGCGTCGCTCGCCGCATCGAACGACGGCGCCGCGTCACCGCCGCGACGCCGTCGGCATAACCATTTACATAACCGACATTCAACTGGTTCTTGAACTTCGCTCTTCGATTCCTTTCTCGCCGTGGCGATCCTCTCCTATGCTATATCGATCCACGCTGAAAGGAGGGGACCTCGGCGGCGCGTGCAAGACGGAAAGGCCGACAGCCGGAAGAGGCGGCGGGGAGAAGACAGGGGGGGAAGGGGGTATTTTATTGTACGCGCCGGCTACATTGGTTTTTTCCTTGTTCTTTCCCAACGTTGCGCGCACGCACTCGCGGCGAGCCAGGGCACGCGGACGCGAAATCGTAGACCCGGTACTCGTAGTCGGATCCTATGTTTAAGACCGTTTTGAATTTATCTGAAGATGCTGTGTGGATTTTATTAGCTGCGGAGTGTCTAAAGACGATGCTAAGACGGTCTTAAATGAAAGCGCTCCGACTGCCAATACCGGCCATAGTCAGTACTTCTATTCAAGACCGTCTTGAGTGGATCTGAAGATTCTGTATGGAACATTTCATTGGCTACGGAGTGTCTTAGGGCAGTCTTAAATGTAAGATCTGACTGTGAATACCGCCTCTAGTTGAGGAATGCGATGCGAGGAAGACGGGGTCAGCACGTAAGAAACGTCCCCTAAAAACCTGCGACGTCGAAGAGCGGCCCGTTGACGCGCGCGTCTCACGCGAAGACGAGAGAGTGTTTCACGCGGACTAGGCGTTAGGGCCTGAGCAGAATGGCTGTCTTGTACTCTTAAGACATAGGACAGTTATTGTGCGTTACCTCAAGGCAAAGGCTTAAGACGCAAAACATTGTCTTGAGGCTGTCTTAAGAGTACAAGGCAGCCATTCCCTAACGCGCTCCGGGTGACGGCTGTCGCGGGAAGAACCTTTGACGCAGCATCCGGAAACGGTTATTCGCGTCTTACCCACCAACGTCCACCAACGTTGATCCACTTTCACGCACGCGAGAATAAGCCGCGTACCACTAACGATCCGCGCGGATAACTGACGTGCGGCGGTCCGTGTCGTGGACAAGCTTCCTATCCGCAGCAGCTGCGGCGATCAATCCCTCCCCGATGAGCCCGCCGACGATCGGCGCGGCTCTACTCGAGCAGTATCACTTTCGAATACCCGTTGTCACAGAAACGATTGCCGAGACGAGACGCAATCGGCGTCGCGGAAGGAGTTTTTCTGTCCGCGCCGGCCGGAGAAGTGCCGGGCCACGCACCGACGGGAAATCGCTCACCGTTAAAGACGAGTTTCTCGAAGCGGGACGATACATTCGGGATAACGTGCGACGGCCCTTACGCGGCGCCTCCACGGAGGGAATCGTTGATGAGACCACTAATACCGCGCACGAGCGAGGCACGCCGGAAAGGGGTAGCGCGCACGCCGAATCGAGTGCGACGGGGACTCACCGGGGACCGCGTTGTCCCGCGAGGAAGAGGCACCGGCGCGCCGACGTCCGAGGCGCGCAAGGAGCTTCCGAGCGACACCTGTGCCGTCTCGAGGTCGGGTCGGGTAGGAAAAGCCGAGCCGGTGGCGCGTGGGAAAAAGCGATGTGCACACGATACCGGCGTACGTCGGATAAAGGGAGACGGGGAGCAAGGGAGGGGGATGGGAGGAGGGAACGGAGGAGAGAAGGAAAGGGGAGAAGGAGAGAGAGAGAACGGAGCCACCACGAAAATCGTGTGGTGGCGTGCCAGCCGATGGTCCCGGACCAACCCGATCGATATACCCTTTTTTCGAGAGTGCCTCCTCTCTCTCTCTCTCTCTCTCTCTCTGTCTGCTTATCTTTCTCTTTCTCTACCCCTCTCGGCCACTCTCCGTCTCTCTTTCTCCCTCATCCGTTTCACTCGATCTCTCGCTCGCGCCCGCGAACTTGCGCCTCACCCTCGGGACGAGAGAGAGTCCGACGACCTGTCTGCCTGCCTGCCTGTCTGCCCGTCCGCCCGCCCGCCTGTCCGTTTCTCCTCAGGAAAGACGAGCGGACCCGGGGCACCGCTCGAAGGGAAACGCGAAGGTGACACAGGACGCGGATAAATCGCGACGCGTTAAGGACGGTTCCTCTCTCGCGAGCGCGTAAACGTACCTGACGAGAGCGGGAGCACGAGAGCGGGAGACGCGAGAGAGCGGTGTGTGTGTGTATGTGTGTCCCGGCGAGCGGCTCTCCTCACCCCCTTTCCTCACGCTCTCCTCTCCGGCTATTTTTCTCCTCGCTCCTTCTCCCGCGGCGGCGAAAGGAGGCAGGAGGAATCTTCCGGTTGCAGCTTTCTCACCTCACCGTATAACGCCACGCGGGAATCAATACGCGCGCCTGCCTCGAGCCTTTTTCCCTCTCTGTCTCTCTCTCTTTCTCTCTCGCTCTGCCTCTCGCTCTCTCACCCCCTCGCGCGCACTCTCGCTCGCTCTCGCCTCCTGTCGCTCCCGCACTAACCACCCTCCGTCCTGTTC